TTTAAGGGAGAAGAGAGAGACAAGAAATGTAACAAAAATTAGCTTTAGAGCTAAGTAAGTACTACCCAACCCCGTAAAATAATCAGGTTTGACTAAAAATAGATTTTTATATAATATCATATAAAAATAACGCACTCCACCAAAATACTTTTCTCCTTGATTTTTCTTAAAATCACTCCTTTGCTAAAATCTTAAACTTCTCTTGGAAAATCTCTTAGTAATTCTTCTCTTTAAACTTCTTAAGAAAATCACTTCTTCTCTAACTTCCTAGTAATTTAGAAGGGCGGTGCTTAACCTTTCGGTAGAGCCCGGTGGACCGTGGTTACGGACGGTCACCCCGAACAAGTGCCGGTACCACAACTGCTCTGTTGGAAACGAAACGACTACCTTAGGTGTGCACACCCCCTAAAAGGGATTCCAAGCCCTCCGAGTAGTAAGTCATCCCGAGTGGTCGGAACCCAACCACCCCAATTCTAAAATTCTTGAATGATTATGGACTACTACTATAACTTCTTCTTAAAAGGGATCATAGATCCAAATCTTACTTAAAAGGGATCATAGATCCAAATCTTGCTTAAAAGGGATCATAGATCCAAACTGTACTTCTTAGTAGTAGTAGCTCTAATCACCCTCCACATTTATCCGGATGTGGAAAAACCGACACCTCGGATTACTCCCGAGATGCTATCTTCTTATGAAAATGTAAATTTTATCTTTGCTTAACAATACTTCAAAAATATTTCTTAATTCCTCTAAAAAGTCTCAAAGGCATTTAAAAATATTTAATACCCCAAAAGTACTTGATTTATACTTCTTAACTACCATATATATAATATCTTCTCAAAATCACATACACAAAATTCACAAATCACACTTAATCACATAATGCATACTAAGCATATAATACGAGGAAACAATTTTGGATTGGCAGAGAAACTTACCTTAAGTCCTGATGCTCCTAGTTATCCTCTTCTAATCCGGTCTCTAGATAATCACCTTTTTAATTAAATATGATAAATTAGTCACTTATTCTATTTGTAATTACTTTACCCGATTTTCTCCTTTTATTTTATTATTCGCATTAACTTTGGTTAATCACTTTTTATTAATCAAATTACCTTATTAATTCAGCCATTAATTACAATATTTGAATTCTAATATTAAATAAAATATTCGAATATAATTAACTACAACATCTAATTTTTATTCAATAATCACCATTAATTTACTCTACTCATAAATTATTATCTAATTACTTTATTTATATTAACCCATTAATTTATGAATTCAAATATTTTAAATATTTATATGAAGTCCGAATATCTAATAATTAATTATAAAAATCATTAATTGAATTAGTCCACTAATTACATAATTAAGTTATTTATTAAGTCTATATATAATCAATTATTTATGCTAGCTAACCCAACCTTATTTTATTTTCCTTATTTTATTCCAACATTATTTTTAGTCCAGACTATTATTTTTCAACCTCAGTGATTTATTTATTTCACCATTAATACTAATATTTCCTTATTTAATTACTTAACTAGTTTTATATGGCCCAAATTAATTAAATAGACTAAGAATCGATTTAATAAATTAGTAACCGTCTATAACTATATTTTGGGTCTATATTTGACCTAGGTTGTCCAGATATCTATTTTATAATTATTTTCCATAATTATTCCCTTAATTTCATATATCTATTAATTGGTTTAATTACAATTAAATATACTAAACCTTATTTTTATTAAATATAAATGGTCCATAAGGTCCTAGTTAGTCATATATTTATCCTAGTTTACTCCAATATTTATTTCATAATTATTTTCGTTATTTAGTTAATTATTTACTAAATGTGTATAAATTGGCCCAATTACCATTAAATCAATTAAAAATAGCTAAAAATATTATTTTTCAATTCTGGTTGGTCCGAATATGTATATTTATACTAGGTATTTAATTTATATTTTTCCAGATTTTATTTATTTCATTTACTATTTTATTTTTAATTTTTATTGCAACTGGGCCGAACTGGCCCAAATTTAATTCTGGCCCAACCTGAAAAAGGCCCAAAAACCGACCCCAGCAATTGCTGGGTCGTCTTCCTCCCCAGGTCGCCGGAGAACGGGAAAGAAAAACGCAGGGAAGGCTTACCTCGTCGGACGGGCGTAACGGCGGCGCTGGCAGGCTTGTTTGGGGACGGCGAAGGTCTGTGATGGTCCGGTGGCGGCGGTGGCAGCTCCCTTTTCCTGCTCCGGTTCCCGTCGCAAAATCAGTCCGGCGAATACTCCGGCGAGCTTGTTCTCTCTACTCCGACGTCCGTTTTCCACGATTCTTTCTCCGTTAGATTCGTCTCGCGAAGGGGAAGGTTTGAGGGGTGTTTTCAGGGCTTGTTTCTGGCTAAAACGGTGGGTCGAAAATATATATATATATACGTATATATGTATATTTTGTAGATTTTGGGATGAAGAAAACGCAGGTTCTGGCTTGCTATTTATAGGGAAAGATGAGGGTTTTAGGCTGAGATGCTAGAGTTGGAGTTGGAGTTTAATCAGTTTCTCCCGTTGGTAGCTTACGCTGCGTAGGAGTTCATATTCGTTTGTGACTTTGAATGTAGTTCAAGTTTGTTTGGATGCTAGAGTTTATATATCTATAGAATTGCACGTAGGTAGTTTAGTTTAAAATTCGTACGTTGGTAGTTTAATTTAATTTTATAAAACAATATATTTTTATATTATTTGCTAACCATAATTCATACGTATAAATTATACGTACGTAGGTTTATTATGTTTCTATTATATTTTATAATTTATTATATTTCTGTATTTGTGTGTTATTATACTTAACTTAAAATAGATATAAAAGTTAATTTTATACAAAAACGTTACTTCTATTATCGGACCATTTTTATCAGACTAAAAATGTTGCAATGTAAATTTTCTGTCTGGTTCACTTGTTTAATAAAATGTTGTTCTTATTACTGAAATATTTTTATCTGACAGGCACGTTACCACTGTTGAATTTTTGTCTGACTCAATTCATAATTAAAATGTTATTTTCGTAATATTTTATCTGATTAATTTTTTTTTTTATTTATTTAAATTTTTGAAGTGTCTTAAGAACCGGGGGTGGCCGGAATCCACCGAAATAAGAATGAAGGAGAGCGAACTGGTGGAATCTCAATGTATTTTCTCAGAAGTGCAGTAAATCGAGTTCTTAGAAGCGAAAGTTCAGAACCCCCTTCCACAAGCCGGAAGGAGATATTTATACTAAGAAGAAAAGGAAATACTTGGGAGCCAAGCAAAAGGAGCTAGCCTAATAAAAGAGAGACATGTGTAAAGCTATTCTAACAAACTACCAGACCTAATGAACCGGGAGCCGCCACGTGGAGAGCTGATTGGAGAGAGAGAGCCCTTGATAGCTGGCTAATTGATTATTCTTCTAACAGAATTCCTGCCAAGGATCTCGTATGATCGTGTGCGGATAGTCTGGAATATTCTTTGATACGGAGGATGACGTGGCGATGTTTTTCGCGAGTCAAGTCTGTGTGGGTTTTGTCTAAGTGTGAGGTGCTTTCTTCCGACCTTAGGAATCACTGAGGTCGATGCCCGGGGGCTCGGGCTCATGCTGAGAGGATTCGCCCTGCTATCTTCTGTTCTCACCTCGGCGGTGGTCAACTGTCTGGCGCTCGATTATCGTTGACCCAGAGCTGGGCTTCCAGGGTCAGACTTGGTACCGACCTCGGGTGTCTCAAGGTCGGGCTCATAACCCGCCGAGTTTGGTTGATTCCTGAGCTCGCTGTTTTCCCGACCTCGGGGCCAGGGTCAGGGTTGGGGTCGGTTGACTCCGTTAGCTGCTGAGTTTGATCAATTCCTGAGCTCGCTGTTCCCGACCTTGGCGGTCGGGGTCGGGACCAGATTGTGGACTTGATATTTTCTTGTCTCTGGCGGATCTGCGATGCTTTCTACCGGCGATTATGGTACCCCTGGGGTATACATGAATATACTCCATCATGAGTCCCCCACTTTCCGAGGCGAAAAGTGAAACTTGAGGTGAGAGAGACTAAATCTTCACTTTCCTGGGCCCGCTTGCTCGACAGGGGCGCTGCTCTTCCATGGTCATGACAAAGGGGTGCCTCATTAAAAACTCCGCTGAGGAAAAACCCTGTGGGAAAAAATCCTAATGGAGAAAAAAGAGTATACTCCGCTTTGCCATGAAGTCCGGAGAGGTAAGCGACGCCCCGCTGCAGAGAAATCCGAGCTCGATCTCCGCGTGCTTCGTGTTCCAAACCTGCTTCATGGGTTAGTTGCTACATCCACGGCCTCGGTCGTGGGTTGATAAAATTCTAAATTTTTAAAATCAAAGGGGATTGTAAAATATGTGTTAGGCTCGGTTTTCAAAAATATACCTGTTTGGTGCTTGATCCCGAGGTTGATGTATTTTGTTGAGCTTGTGGAGGTCTTGATTTTTGATTTTGATCCCAAGTCCCCCACATACCAGTCCCCCACTCTTGTGGACTTAGAATATTTTCTAAGTGCGGAAGAGTATAAGTGTGAGAGGGACGAGGCAGTTGCACTTAGCGCTTGGTGGACTTAGGAGAATTTGTGGCGTGTAGTAACGCTGATGTGTACAAATAGGAATCTTTAGACATTCCTTTTTGCAACATTTGTATTTAATAGCCGAGGGATGGCGTTTGGAAGGATAATACGGCGCCATCATTGCGCTTTTTGCACGCCTTTTGGGAAAAACCTTTGAGTTTTTAGGCGATTGGAGAGTAGTGCGCCACGTGTAAGCTTCCCGTTTATTTTCAAGGGGAAGTATAAAAGGCAAAGACTTCGCCTTTTCTCCTTTGCGCTTTCTTTGTGTTCGAGCTTTCTGAATTCTTCAGCAATCCAGAGCTTTCAGTCTCCGGCTAGTACTACCGAAGTTCAGGCTTTCTCCGTCGACTTCCGCAACCAGGTTAGTCTCCGGTTCTTCTTCGTTGTTGCCTGTTTGTCGCAGTTTGGTCGGAAAACCTGGGATAAGGGTTTTTCCGTCAAACTGGTTATGTTGTCAATGGGGGGTTTACAGTCCCCCATTCTTGATGAGGTTGGTACCTCTAGACTCGGAATCGTATGATGATGTCGATTCGAGTGTTTAATTTCTGTTTGGGGGTCGGATTACATGTCCTTAACCCCAGACTCTGATTGTCTGCATGTACGTGTGTGTTTCTCTGCAGATTTTGAGAAAATTTCTTCCCAAGGTAATGCTGGAGACAGGGCCGTCCCTCAACACGAGGTTGGGGGCGCCGCTGTTGTGCATGACATGCCTCCCATCTGCTTTATTAGGAAGCGGAGAAGCAGTAAGAAGAAGTCTGGGAGTGTGGTGGGCACCCTTACAGAGAATGGTCCTCTCGTGGATGCATGTGCTCTTACTGACGTCGAGTGGGCCGAAGCCAGACACATGGCCGGTCCTACTGTTGATATCATGAGACCTGAGGCAGGGAGCCCGACGTCCTCCTGTTCCTCCGGATTTTTCGCGGTTCATCTGGACGCGATGGACCATGGGTTCCGCTTTCCGTTGCATCCCTTCTTCGTGGAATACCTTAACTGGGTTGGTCTGCTACCATGCCAGGTAACTCCCAACGGTTTCTACTTGATTGCAACTTTTCTCCTGCGCTGCCGCGTTCTGGGCCTGAACGCCAGTGTCGGCTTGTTCAGGCTTCTGTTCCAAATCGGGCTCAACAGTTCGCTGGAGAACCAAGGCTATGCCCTTATTTCTCAGAGGCCCGGTAGGAGCGGGTTCCGCCACATCCCGCTCCTCGCCCTGGGTGGAGGCACCAGTTCGTGTTCATTTGCACTGACAGGAGGGATGGTTCCCCCTTTACTGTCCCAGGTTCCCTGAATTTCAACATGCACGATGCTGGCGTGCTAGGCGAGTTTGCCGATGATGTGGGTACCTACGTCGGGTACGGTGATAATTATATCACCTCCTTTTTGCCCGAGGAAAAGATGGTGGACCCGGGTTTCACTTCTTTCACTGAGGTTCCAGTTGAGGACCAAGGGGTTGCCGTTGGTGCGGCACCTCAAAATGGGGATAAGGTTGGCGCCCAGGAGGAGGCTGACATCGCTGCGGCCATTGCTGCATCCCTGGCTATGGGACAGGGCTCTGGTGATGGGCCACTGCCTCAGATGTGTTGGGTCCACAGTCCTCAGGTGAAGAGAGCTTTTGCCCACATGTCTCCTCCCAGGTCCGAATCTTCATAGGATGAGGAGCCCGCGTTGGAGAGGAAGAAACCCTTTGGGATGGTGTCTGCTCCTGGGCTTTTGAATTCTGCAGGGATGGTAGATCCTGCCAAGGTTGAAGTTGAGCCGGTCAAGAGAATGGTAGATCCTGCCAAGGTTGATTTGGAGGCAGATCCTGTCCAGCCTGCTGTCGTTTCACCAGGTATATTCCATCTCGACTATGGATTGTCTCTCTGTATTGTGCGCCGTCGTGGTAATTTTACCTTCCTGGTTTTTTCGTTACAGGCAGTGCCAACCTGTTTGATCTCCTTGACCTTGCCCAGGAGGGTGGGAGGAAAACCCAGCCCTCGGCCGGTGTTAAGTATGCTGACCGGTCCCCCAAAGGCTCCTCCTCCTCCCAGAGTTCAGGGAATGGAGGTAATGATGATGCTACTGACTCTCCCGACTCGGGGAATGCCCGTGTCAGTGACGGCGGTGACAAGGAGACTATTGAAACCGTTACCGTGGCCGCCGCCGCAGCGAATGTCGGTACTGCCCCAGCACCTGACATGGTCATGGGCTTTGGATGATGATGATGAAAAGGAGACAATTGAACAGCTCCAAAGCCGTCTGGGTTCAGAAGCTGCAGGTCCCACTAGTGTCACCCCCAAGGGTGGGGATGAGGTCGACAAGGAGACTATTGAGCAGCTTCGGGTCCGTTTAGGCTCAGATCCTGCAGGCCCCAGCAGCGCTGCTCCGGCTAGTGGCCGGTCCAAGCGTTCTATAGCCAGGGGAGTGGCCCTCCTCATGATTCTGCCAGCACGAGGAAAAGGCAACCCCTCCATTTCTCTCTCCGGGATGATCAAGGCTTCATCTCTGAAGATGCTGGGGCTATGGATCTGCTGGCAGGGCTGAGGCTACCCTGTGATACTGAGATCCTTGATGAGATGGATACTCCATTTGTTGCCAAGGAACTTACATCCAGCGCCTTTAAGGTACTGCACCCTTTTGTGTATATCTTTTACCTCTTCCCCTCTCTTCGTGTTCATATATTTCTTCTTACTTTTCTTCTTCTGGCGTTGCAGGCTGCCGTGTTGGGCTATGAGATGGCTCTCAGGGTAGAGGATGTCGAGCTCAAGGCGAGGGTAGCCGTTCAGAAGAGGGCGGATCTCCTCAAGGGCAGACATTTGGCCGAGCAGGCCCTGAAGGTTGCCCAGGAGCAGATTTACGAGCTCAAGAAGAGGGCTCAAGATGCTGAGGCCCGGTTCCACGAATGCCAAGCGCAGTTCGGGGCTCTCAAGGAGACGGCTGATGCGTCCTTCCGGGCTCTTAGTGATACGGAGATTTATGCACGAAGTGCTGAAGACCGGGCCCGTGATGCCGATGAGAGGGCGACCACTGCTATTGAGAAAGCAAAAATCGCCACGACCGAATGGCAGAGGATGATAGATGTCTCCAGCTTGGCAATGAAGGAGAGGGACCGGCTTAAAAAGGTTCTTGCGGTCAATGAGGCTGAGTTGTGCTCATCGAGGTCCCGGTGCTTGATGTTAGAGGATCAGCTCGTGGTGGTTACCCGGGAGCGCCGCGAATGGGAAGCGGACCACGACAGGGTGGCCCTTGAGCTTGAAGACGCCCGTTCCCAAACTATTAAACAGGGGCGCATCCTGGAGAGGCTTAGGAAACAAGCGGAGGATGCCAAGGCCCGGGTGGCTGGGCTCGAGATTGATCTCGCCTCCCGAGATGCTGACCTGGGTAAGCTGAGGGAGGAGCTTTCCGAGGTTCGGCTTGATTCCGGGCATGTCAAGGCACGGATAATGTCATTGGAAGCCGAGATGGCTGCCACACAGAAGAAGCTGGAAAATTATATGGTAGGGCATTCCACAGCTGTTGAAAGAGCGAAAGGTGGCGCTGTATCTGAGTTCCAGGCCTCGTGCTCCACGGATCCGGCCTCTCCCTCAGCTGTCAACTGGCTTCATGGGGTCATGGGCAAGCACATTAACAGCTGGTTGGCCACGCCTGCAGGTCTGGAGTTCGTGCGAGAGCAGTTTCTGCCTACCCTGTAGTATGGGAAGTTCCAGATGCAGAAGGATATATATGACACACTTTATAAGAACCTGCCTGGCTTCAAGCCCAAGAACTATAAGCTACCTAAGCTCATGAAGCACCCTCAGACTGCCCCCAATCAACAACTCCAGTATTCTCTGACGACTCAAGCATAACCAGTCGAAGCCGGCGAGGAGGTAGAGCAGAAGAAGAAGAAGAAGAAGAAGAAGAAGAAGAGGAAAAGAAAAGAATAAATTCCCCCTCCCCTTAATCTTTTCTACGAATATCAGGCTGTTGGGACGTTGTTATAAAACTCTTGAATCACCTTTGGATTTGCTTGGGTATAATATTTGTTATCCTTCTTTTCTTATTTCAGTTTATTTTCCTTCTCTGTGTTTGTTGCCTTTTCGTGTGTGTCTGCATATTTGCACAGAAATTTGCTCAGTGGGGATAGGCCATGTATACATATCTGGCTTGTCCTCCTTTTGATCTGAGCTCAGCATGTGTTTGTTGAGTCTTAGTAGTTGCTTCCAGCAGAGGTTGCTTTAGTCAGCCTCGTTTGGGTAAGGCCTTGCTTGTTCTTTGCTATTTAACCTAGCGATGAATCTGCGTTTAGTTATCCATGCTGCATTCTGCATGTTGCATGCGTTGTGCAGTAATGGGACCTCGAGGGCCCATTACTGTACAGTTTGCCAGTAGCAATGATTGCTAACTGTTGGAGCTTTTGTCGGAGCTTTTGGTCTTGGCTTCACTTTGGAGTTTTAGGCCGAGTTTCTTCTTTGGAGTCTGTAGCTTTTCTTCTTGGTGCCCTGTGCTTCACAAAGCGTTTGGGAATAGTTTTTCTTTTTAGGAAAATGGTTTGAAAATCTTCCTTGATCGGATTTCTATCCCCAGCTAGGGTTGTGTGTTTGATTGATGTGTTGGACAGGTGAGGTGACCTTATTATTTAAGGTCCCCCTCTGTCTGCTGACATGGGCTTGTGTAATGAAGAGCATTCGCCCTATTTGTAGTGAAAAAGCTTTAGTTTTGTTGCTGCAGTTTTCACTCGCTGTGAGTGACTGCTGCGAAGGTATTTTTGTTTAACAAAATATCCCGAACAACTTATAATGTACAAACAGAACCTGGGAAGTAGGCTCTGAGTTGTTCGCCGGGCTTGAGAAGTGGGCCCTGCAGTTATAATCCGAGCGCGAGATCTTTTAAGCGAGCTCGGCTGGATTTCGCAGTAGTGCGTTGTGGTGCAGCCGGACTTTAATTCCAGACCGTTTTGGCTTTGTGCCGGTAATTTTGATAACGACCTCCTTCCAGACCGCGAGATATGGACTAGAGCTCGGCTATGCGTGATTTTGATAACGACCCCCAGCGGTGTCGGAAGCGAGAGGTGCGGGCAGTCGGACTTTAATTCCAGACTGTGGCATTTCGCCATCAATTCAGGGAGCCTCTCCACCTTCCAGACCGCGAGATATGGACTCGAGCTCGGCGCTGCGAGATTCATGCGAGAGCTCGGTGGGTCGGAAGCGAGTGGTGCTCAACCTAGGTCAGGACCATCATGTAGCCCAGCCTTTGGCGTAGCGCCATCAATTTAGGGAACTGACCTCCTCCCAGACCGCGAGATGTGGAGCAGAGCTCGGCGCTGCGAGATTCGTACGAGAGCTCGGCTGGATCGGGAGCGAGAGGTGCTCGACCAAGGTCAGGACCGTCAGGTAGCCCAGCCTTCGGCATTGCGCCTCTATCTCCCCCCGCCTTCAATGCTAAAGGGGGAGACGCATATTCGTGGGGTGCGATGACTTATAAAATCGGCTCAATCCCAAATTCGGGAGCCGCATTGAGCTGTTATCCCAGCTTTGTGAGGAAGGAACAAGGATTTATTTAGATGCCTTGACTTCTTCGTTCGGGAGCCGCGTTGAGCTATTATCTCTGTTTTGTGAAGAAGGAACAAGGACTTGTATAGATGCCTTGGCTTCTTCGTTTGGGAGCCGCGTGGGGCTATTGTCCCTGTTTTGTGTGGAGGGCTTACAGAATGGCCTCGGAGATCGGGAGCCATTGAGGGTGTTATTCCCAGATATGGGAGGGCTTACAAAGTGGCCTCGGAGAATTGATCGCAGACTAGAGAGTCCTCGCTTGCGAGGGCTTACAAAGTGGCCTCGGCTTATCGGAGTTCTGGCTGAAGAGCCTGTGTTTGCGAGGATTTACGGAGTCACCTCGGCTTTGGGGCTCGGCTGAAGGAGCGTGTGTCCTCGAGGGATTACAAAGTGACTTCAGGACTTGGAACCGCTGGGGTTATTGTCGTCGAGGTCTTACAAAGTGGCCTTGGAATGAGTGGGCTGAAGGGCCTGCGTCTATGGGGACTTATTAAGTTGTCCCGACTCGTGTTACTGTTGAGTGTGGACGGGAAGGCTTATAGTTTGCTTCCAAGGAGAGTTCTTTATTTAAACCCCTCCTTTATTGATTTTGATGGTAGCTGTGAACAACTTACAGTGTGCGGCTGAGGCCGCTATCAGTGACCTCGGATGTCCAATGCTAATGAGTGCGCAAAGTCTCCGTTTGGCGAGGGCTCATTGTCTCCTTTACAGCGATGGGTCACTGGTAGTACCTCACCAGGTGGTGGACGTTCCATAATCTAGGAACCTCCGTGCCTCTTGGGGTGCTCAGTTTATAGGTTCCGGGCCGGACTACAGTTGTGATGATGTAGGGCCCTTCAAATTTTTTGGCCATCTTCCCCCCTTCATTAGGCTGGCTGGCCGCCCGTTGCCTGAGGACGTAGTCCCCCACTTGGAACTCCCGACCTCGGACTCGAGAGTCATAGTAGCTTTTGACTTGGCGTCTGTAATTTTTCGACCTCAAGAATGCGTTTTCTCTCCTTTCATCAACAAAGTTGAGATCAATCCGCATGTTCTGTTCGTTCTGCTCGGGGTCATACGCCAGGACCCGCGGGGTCGGAATTGTGACTTCTGTGGGGGCTTTGGCTTCAAAGCCGTAACAGAGTGAGAATGGAGTCTCACCCGTTGCTCTACGGGGAGTTGTTCTGTAAGCCCACAGAATGTTATGGAGTTCTTCCACCCAGCCTCCGCCTTCATTTCGAGCTTCTTTTTTAAGCCCGTCAGGATGGTGCGGTTGGCATTTTCCACTTGTCCGTTGCACTGAGGGTAAGCGACGGAGGCTGCAGTGTGTTTGATTCCCCAGCTGGCCAACATATCCTGGAAACCTTTGGCCTCGAACTGAGTACCGTTGTCGGTGGCACACCGAAGCGAGTGAGGATGTTTTTGTGGATAAATCGCCTGCACTGCGCCTCGGTTATGTTGTCCAGTGGTTCTGCTTCTATCCATTTGGTGAAGTAATCAATAGCGACTATGATCCACCTGCAGTTGCCAGTGCCTCGAGGAAGTTGACCCACGAGGTCTACGCCCCATCTGGAGAATGGAATTGTCGTGCTTATGGGGGCGTAGTTCACTGCTGGGTGTACCGGGGCGTTCTGGAGTTGCTGGCACGCGTTGCAAGTGCGTGCCATCCGGGCGCAGTCCTTTACCATGGTAGGCCAGAAATATCCTTGCAATAGGAGTTTTCTGGACTTTGAGTGAGGGCCTTGATGTGCTGAGCAGACCCCGTCATGGATCTCCTCCATGGCCAGTTTAACCTCATTGGGGTTGAGGCAGCGTAGGAGCGTGCCGTTGTAAGACCTTTTGTATAGCACACCATCGAGGAGGGCGTAGGTCGGAGCTCGGAGCTTGACGAGCCTGGCCTCGGCCTCACCCTGGGGCCGTTGCCCATTGTCAATGTACTATTTTAGGTCAGTAGTCGAGTCCCTTGGGACGGATTGTACCTGGTGTATGAGAGTCTGTTGTATGCTTGGTGTTGACAGTTCCTCCACCTGAGCGATCTTAGAGATGTGCTCAGGAGTGTCCGAGCTCAGTTTGGACAGGATGTCAGCTTCCTGATTCGGAGCTCGTGGTATCTGCAGGATTTCATACATCTGGAAAGTTCCCAGGAGCTCCAGTGCGGAAGCTTTGTATTCTTTCATCCTGGCCTCCTTTGTTTCACAGGAGCCTTTGATTTTCCCGACCACGAGCCTGGAATCGCATTTGATCCTCAGCTTTCTCGCCTGCATATTAGCTGCAAGGCGTAGGCCAGATAATAAGGCTTCATACTCTGCCTCGTTATTGGAGACTTTGAATGCAAAGCGTATAGCGTAGTAAGCTCGGAAGCCCTCGAGGGTGATGAGTACGACCCCCCCCCCCCCCCCCCCCCCCCGCAGGCCTTGGCTGCAGAAGAGCCATCAGTGAGCAGTGTCCACCAGCCGTCCTCGTCAGTTGAGGTGTCCAGGGTCAGATCTCTGGCAGTGCATTCTGCCATGAAGTCGGCGAGAGCTTGCCCTTTAATGGTCGGCCTCGGCTTGATCTCGATCTCGTATTGGCTCAGAAAAAACGGCCCATTTGACCATTCTGGCTGAGCTTGTGGGGCTCCGCATGAGTTGACCCAGAGGTCGATGGGTGAGAACATGTACGACGTGGGCCTGGAAATAATGGGCCAAGCGCTTCACAGTCCATACTACCGCAAGTACGGTCTTCTCTACTGGGGAGTACCGGAGCTCGGCGTTGCGCAATGTTTTGCTTATGTAGTAAATGGGCTTCTGAGCTCCATCTTCCTCGCAAATCAGGACCGAGCTCACGGCCCCGTGGCTGACGCCAAGGTAGAGGTATAGTGTTTCTCCGTGCTCAGGCTTTGACAATATCGGCGGAGAGACAAGATATCGCTTGAGGTCATCGAATGCTGTCTGGCACTCGGGAGTCCACTGGAACTTTGCATACTTCCTCATGATTTGAAAAAATGGCAGTGCACGCTCGACCGATTTTGAAAGAAACCGGTTGAGGGCTGCCAGCTTCCCAGTTAATCTTTGGACCTCTTTGACATTTCGGGGCGGCTCCATATTGAGTATGGCCTGCACCTTCTCCGGGTTTAGCTCAATCCCGCGCTGACTAATCATGTAGCCCAGGAACTTCCCCCTTGAACTGCAAATGTGCACTTCTTGGGGTTGAGCCGGAGGTTGATCTTGTTCATAATCTTGAAGATCTCTTCTACATCCTCAGCATATGTGCTGGCTTTGCGGCTTTTGACTATCATGTCATCCACGTAGGCTTCCATTGTCCTGCCGAGCACAGCCTTGAAGACCCTGTCCACCATGCGAGTGTAGGTGGTGCCTGAGTTCTTGAGCCCGAACGCCATGACCATATAGCAGAAAATACCCTCTGGAGTCATGAAAGCTGTCTTCAGGGCATCGAGTTCGTTCATGAAAATCTGGTGGTAGCCCCGGAAGGCGTCCAAGAAGCTCATGAGGTCACAGCCGGTTGTTTCATCGACGAGCTGGTCAATGTTCAGCAGCGGGAATGGATCCATCGGGCAAGCCTTGCTGAGGTCGGTGTAATCGACGCACATACGAAATGTTGGTGGCTTGGGTGCCAAAACAACATTCGTTAGCCATTCCGGGTATTCGACTTCGGCGATGTGATTTATGCTAAGGAGCATAGTCATCTCGGCCTTGACAAATTCCCTTCTGTCCGTAGACAGGTACCGCTTGCGCTGTTTGACAGGCGTCGCGTTTGGGTCCACAGATAGGTTGTGCGTGATTATGTCACGACTGATCCGCGGCATTTCGTCGGGTCCCAAGGCAAAAATAACCTTGTATTTGATGAGAACAGAGATTATTGCTTGCCTTAATCCTGGCTTTAGATTTGTCCCGATCTGAACAGCTCTCTCAGGGTTAGTTTGATCCAGGACGACGGTCTCCAATGTATCTACAGGCTTAGGTCTGGGAGTTTCTTCTTCAAGCGAGGCCTGTGAGATGGTCTTGATGCGCATGTCCCTAGCAGCCATCCGCTTTGTCATCTTCGTGTAGCAGAATCTGGCTATTTTCTGGCTACCTCTGCAATAACCGACCCCGGCCTCGGTTGGAAACTTCATGCAAAGGTGCCTCATGGAAATCACTGCTTCCAAGTCCTCCAGTGTTGGTCTCCCCAGAATTACATTATGAGCGCACTCTAGGCGCACCACTACGAACTCCACAGGGATCCTGGAGTGGTGAGATCCATCCTCAAACTTAATGGTGAGCTCAATAGTGCCCTCGGCGTCTATGGAGTCACCGGTAAATCCAGAGAGGGGAGTTCGGATGGGCCTCAAAGAGTTGAGGTGCAGCTCCAGCTCATGGAACGTCTGTATTTACATGATATTGACAGAAGAACCGGTATCAATGTAAGCACGGTGGATGATAACCACGTCCACCTCACACTTCACCACCAGAGCATCCCTATGGGGTGAAGGGAAGTCTGGCAGATCGCGGTCGGTGAATGAGATTATATCCGAGCTGGCTCTCTTGGCAGCAGGTGGGGGAGCTGTGATTTCCCCCACATAAAGTTTGTTGTTCCACTTCTTCCTTTGCGCGGCCGTGTCTCCGCCGGTGTTTCCTCCGATGATCATCCGGACCTCATGTCGGCGCTGCTGGTTACGCCTATTATCCTCAGCCGAATCATCATCGGAGATCAGCCCGACATCCTTCTTGCGTGGGGAACGATCATAATCTCGCTCCTCGTCCCGGGATCTACGCTCGTGGCCACGTTTCTGGCCTGACTCAGGTTTCCGGACGAAACGTGTCAAAAAGCCACGGTTAATCAGCTTCTCAATCTCCAGCTTAAGCGTGTGGCATTCATCAGTGGCATGCCCATAAAACCCGTGGAATTTGCAATATGGCCCGGATTTGTCTCACTGCTGGATTTCACTGATTCGGGGGTCCCGCACTACCAGCCCTTCCTGGTCTGCTGCCTCTAGGATATGGCTGACAGAGTGGGTCAGTGGTGTCAGGACCTCAGGTGCTAGGAGCTTGGGGCCTATCCAGGGGCGCCTGCCTTTGAAATGGCCCCTGTTCCGTCCCTTATCACCATCGTCACGAGGTTTGTCCTCTCGTAGCGGCTTTGGCTTTTCCAGCTGTTTCTGCTCCTGCTTCTGGGGCTTTGAGGTACTCTTCTGTGCCCTCTTACGGTTGTGCACCTCCTCCGCTAGGGCGTAGTTTTGTCCACGGAGGAGTGCCCGCTGATAATCCCTTGGGGGATCAATGATGAGGCTCCTCGAGAAGCCGCCGGTCCACAGGACCTCTTGGAGCATGGCCAAACGGGTGTTGTCATCAGCCCCATAGACCTTGGAGGTTTCTTCATTCCATCGTTCCAGGAACTTGCCTAGAGGCTCGTCCCTGCCCTGCTTTATGGACAGCAGGTAGGAGAAATGCTTCTTCGTCCTTGCCTTTGTGGCGAAGTGAGTCAGGAAGCGGGTAGCTAGCTCCCTCCATGAGTCGATGCATTCATCAGGGAGATCGTTAAACCAATCGTATGCCTCCCCCTCTAAAGTGGAGGGAAACATACGGCAAATATACTCATCGCTAGCGCCCAACATATACATGCCGGACTGGTAGCGAGTATAGTGCTCTTGGGGGTCAGTTTTACCCCCATAGAGTTGAATATTGGCCCCCTTATACTTTGGGGGTATAAGGGCCTGCATAATCCTCGTAGTAAAGGGGGTAGCAGTCCTTACCCTTACTGTGACAGGCTCCTGGTTGATCTGGGCCTCGAGTTGCTGGACTTGAAGAGCCAGCGCTTCCAGCTGAGCATCCCGCGCCGTCTGCTGGGGTGGCAATGGTGGTGGTGCTGCTGTTGCAGCGGTCCAGAGCTCATTGACTTGCTGAGTCAAGAGGCGGATCTTTTCTTCCCTGAGGTCCACCTGGCGAGGGCGCCGTGGTGGAGATTCAACTTGCCGCCTAGGTGGTGACAACCTCGGCTGGCGCAGGGGTTGTTGTTGCAGTTGTTGGCGCGGTGAAGAAACGCGTTGTTGCCTTGGGAGAGAAGGCATCTGCTGGTGACATGGGGGGGCGAATCTAGGAGAATGATTGCCCCTTAGCCTCTCCAGAGCGGGAACGCGCTCTGGAGTCCTTCTCCCAGGCTGCTGCTGCTGTTGTTGCCGGGGAATCTCGGGCACTGGGGAGTTTGCCCGGTTGATCCCCCGGATATTAATAGATAGGCGCTGATTCGCCGTGGATCTGTCTCCCAATCTGGAGAAGATGGGACGCCTTCCCACCTCGATCCAGGGATTGGGGTTATCATCCTGTCGCAGGGAAGGGGATTGCGAGGAGTCCTCAGTGGTGACATCATAAACACCCTCGTCATTGGTACAGTCGCAATCAATGCGGCGGGCAGTGTACCTAGATGGCACTGCAGGAGGCGGAGGTGCTATCCTCCGTGGTGCAACAACGGGGCGGGAGGTTCCCGCCTGTTGTGCGAGAGGCGCAGCACCGGCACATGACGGATCGTGGGAGATTGGACCCCTGGAGTCGCCCTCTGGCAGGGAGGAGACTGATAGACCATTTGTGGTGGCCTCTCCACCACCAGGGGTGCGTCAATGGAGCCTACTCTCAGAGAGCGAGATCTGGAATTCGCCGGAGAGATAGGTCGAATGGCCTGAGGAGCGACAGCAGCTGCAGATTGAGATCGCAGCGTTGGGAGTACCTGCTGCAAGCCGGTAATGAGGGCGCCAACCTCCGCAGAAGGATCCACCATCAGACGGTTCTGGAATTGTGGGATCACCTGCGCGGACGACATTGCCACTACATCACGGTTGAGAGAGATCTGTTGTCGCAGATCTGGGGAGGTGCGCTGGATCTGATCGCGTAGATCAGCAGAAGCTCCAGCGACCTGTTTTCCCTTGGCGGCCCTCCTAGCGTCGGAAGTAGCAGTGGCTTCCAACGAGGGCTCCACCGGAGCGACGGTGGCAGCAGCACGTCGACTTCTGAGATTTTCCTTTCCCGCCATTGTTGCAGAAAAGCTTGTTGTAGATCTGAAGAGATTGGGAGGATCTGACTTGTTCACAGTTCAGCTCTCAATGAAAGCACCAAAAAATGATGGATCATCGGACCGGGGGTGGCCGGAATCCATCGAAACAAGAATGAAGGAGAGCGAACTGGTGGAATCTCAATGTATTTTCTCAGAAGTGCAGTAAATCGAGTTCTTAGAAGCGTAAGTTCAGAACCCCCTTCCACAAGCCGGAAGGAGATATTTATACTAAGGAGAAAAGGAAATACTTGGCAGCCAAGCAAAAGGAGCTAGCCTAATAAAAGAGTGACACGTGCAAAGCTATTCTAACAAACTACCAGACCTAATGAACCGGGAGCCGCCACGTGGAGAGCTGATTGGAGAGAGAGAGCCCTTGATAGCTGGCTGATTGATGATTCTTCTAACAGAATTCCTGCCAAGGATCTCGTATGATCGTGTGCGGGTAGTCTGGAATATTCTTTGATACAGAGGATGACGTGGCGATGTTTTCCGTGAGTCAAGTCTGTGTGGGTTTTGTCTAAGTGTGAGGTGCTTTCTTCCGACCTTAGGAATCACTGAGTTCGATGCCCAGTGGCTTGGGCTCATGCTGAGAGGATTCGCCCTGCTATCTTCTGTTCCCACCTCGGCGGTGGTCAACTGTCTGGCGCTCGATTGTCGTTGACCCGGAGCTGGGCTTCCAGGGTCAGACTTGGTACCGACCTCGGGTGTCTCGAGGTCGGGCTCATAACCTACCGAGTTTGGTTGATTCCTGAGCTCGCTGTTTTCCCGACCTCGGGGTCAGGGTCGGGGTCGGTTGACTCCGTTAGCTACTGAGTTTGATCAATTCCTGAGCTCGCTGTTCCCGACCTCGGCGGTCGGGGCCGGGGTCGGGCCCAGATTGTGGACTTGGTATTTTCGTGTCTCTGGCGGATCTGCGATGCTTTCTACCGGCGATTATGTTACCCATGGGATATACGGGAATATACTCCATCAATAACATTTACTTAGGTAATCTCATGCTTAACCCAAAAGTTACAAGACATTAAGCCATCCACTCACCTTAAATGAGGTATAACGTATTCTACGCTCCTCGGTTGAACTCCGACGAAACTCCGGCAAACTCCGGCGAACTCTAGAAACTCTTTAGTTAAGCTCCTAACATGGTTTTATCTTCGCAAAACTCTTATCAATACAAATAACCTCTAAAAGGTTATTTTCCGGCGAACCGGTCGTTTTGGCTTCTAAGTCCGTTTTTGGACTTAGAACTACCTTCCAACCCCTCATTCTATACCTCTAACCATGTAGAGCTTCCTTAGGGGTTCCTAATATGCTACATAAGCCATATGGTAAGTTAAAGAGTAGGGGAAGGTTGTTATAAAGTTATTACCTTAACTTTTTCACGCTTTTCTTCACTCTTTCCCCCTTAGACTTCTTTCCTTGCACCTCTTTGTGTTGAGCACGAAAATGGAGGATGGTATGGAGTATTTCAGAGCTTCTTACTCCTTGGATGGCAGCTGGGTCGAGTTAATGAGGTTAGGATTGATTGAGAATGCCTTTTTGGCATTTCTGTCAATCATACATGGAGGGGGGGGGGGGGGTCCACTCTCTTAAATGTGTTGGCTCCCAAATCATCTCATGGCTCATTTCCCATGTGATGGTGCGGCTCCCTTGTCCAAAGACAAGGCTAAAAACGTGGGTTCCCCCCACTTATGTGAGAGGTCATCCCTTTGTGTCCCGAACTGTAAAATCGGCCCCGAAAGTTGTATTTTTCGGACTATTTTAATTATATTTCATTTTATCGGGTCAATTAAAATATATTATGTGTTTCCCATCATTATGGACTCTTAGAATGAATATACATTCCTCATATTTAATTTAGAAGTCTCCGAACCCTATTTCGGGCTGTTATATGATAAATTACCAATACCGGTAATTAGGTCTCGTTTGACCGACGGGTCAACCCTATGCCCTTTCTATGGCCCAACTAAAATATCCACCACCATATGAATGTTATCTACACCAAGATGAATATAATATGTGTCCATGGGATTATCGGGTGGTCCCCGCTCCCGATGCGGGCCCCGCGTGCAATTCACTATTCACGCAAAAAGAAATAACAAAAATTTTACAACCTTGTAAATTCATAAATCATTATTCAAGGACCATTACATGATTTACTAAAAGTAAATATAATTGGGGACGGTGTTACACATTGGGCAGGCCTTGTTGAGATCTGTATAGTCCACGCACATCCTCCAGATTGACGGCTTAGGAGCCAAGACTACGTTGGCAAACCACTCCGGATACTGCACTTCTCTGATATGCCTAATGTCCAACAACATGTTTACTTCCCCTTTGATAAACTCTTTCCTGTCCAAAGACAGGTATCTTCTCTTTTGCTTCACGGGAGTTGCCTTCGGATCGACGTTCAATCGGTGAACTGCTATGCTTGATCAAGCTGGGCATGTCCTCAGGTCCCCAAGCAAACATCACCTTAAATTCTGTCAGGACTTGGACTATCCTTGATCTCAGGTCGGTCGGAAGTCCTATACCAATTTTAACCCAACATTCTGGCCGGGATGGATCGACTCCGACCTCCTCGAGCTTTGAGACGGACTGAGCTTTGAATTTCCCTTCCTCATATTTGGATAGGTCTTGCTCGATGGCATTGACCCTTACATCATTCCACCCATGAGCCTTGCAGGCGCTCACATAGCAACTTCTCGCCATCTTCTGGTCTCTTCTTACCGTGCCTATTCCGGCCGGTGTGTAAAATTTCATGAATAAATGAGCCTGGGAGATAATGGCTCCCAGGTCCTCCAACAAAGGTCGGCCCAGGATGGCCTTGTGAACGCTTGGCAGTTGAACAACAACAAAATCTACTTCGATCACTCGTACGCATGGCTCTGATCCGAGTTGGATCTTGAAGGTGATCACCCCCTCTAGCTCGATTGTGTCCCCAGTAAAACATGAGAGAGGTGTTTTTACCTCTTTCAAATCTCCCTTCTTGAGTCTGATCTCCAAGAAAGCATCCATGTACATTATGTTGACTGAGCTGCCATTGTCCACGAGGACCCTATGAATGGTTGCATCCATAACGTCCATCTTGATTACCAGAGCATCCATGTGAGGTGGGGGACACGACGGGAGGTCGTCATCTGTGAAAACGATCGATTCCCGCTTCTGCTTTTTATCCGCAAGAATGTGTTTGATCTCTCTAATGAATAGTTGGCGACTCCACTTTTTTCTTTCTCCCGCGGTGTCTCCTCCCACAGGTCCGACGTAGATCTGGTTTACATGCGGGCGTTTCTGACGGCCTGAATCTTCCCCTTCCTCGTTATCCTTGAACTGGGCTCTGATCTCCCTCTTCTTAGAGGGAGAGGCCGGTTCGTCTCTCCCTTTGTTCCAGGTATTCTTCTTTTGAGGGGTTGTCCCCACCGACTCTTCTTTACAAACTGATCCAGCTGTCCTTCTTGGATGAGCCTTTCCACATACTTTTCAGGACATAATAGTCATCAGTTTCATGAGTATCACTCTTATGGAGTTTGCAATACTTACCTCGGGTGGCCTGGTTGTTAACAATGTTACAACCTTCTAGAATTGTTATCAAACCCTACTTGGCCGCATGATCCAGGACAGTGCTGAATGGATGTGTTAAAGGCGAAAATTCAGACTGGCTGGACAGGGGTCCCTCGGAGACACTTGACTTGCTCTTTCCCCAACCCTTCTTCTTCATTTTGGACCCATTCCCTTTGTCCGGGTCATGAGTTTCCCTCTCTGAGTTCCTTTTTCTTTTCATCTTCAGGTTGGCGCTTTCCGGTCTCCTCTTCTCTCTTCCTCTTCTCAGCCTCTTCCACCCCAGCTTGCGCATTGGCACGCAGTAAAGCTTCCTCGTGTGAGGTCGAGGGGTTGTGCATAAAATCCTTGCACAGTTCACCCAACCTCTCCGCATTGGTGAGGACGGCGACAGTAGAATTGTTATCTAGGTTGTCCACCTTCACCGATTCATCCCTCCACCGAGCTAGGAAGTCGACCAAGCTTTCCTGGGATCCATGTCTGATTCCTAAGAGGTGAGGGAAATTCTTATTGGAGTCCTTGGAGCTAGCGAACCGGACTACGAATGCATGGGCCAATTCCCCAAAGTTCAGGATCCTCCCATCAGGTAAATAGTCATACCATTCCCGGGCTGGTCCGTCCAAGCTTAGTGAGACCCCCCTACACTTGATTGCATCGTCATACCCCATCATTACCATGTATGCCACGTACCTCGAGACATGGTGTTGGGGATCGGTCTTCCCTCGACAGGTCTCAATGTTGTATGGCTTGTATCCCTGTGGTAATGGAGCGTCCATGATCTGGGGAGTGAACGGCTCGGGAATCCTCACATCATGATTGAGGTTGATCCTACCATCCCTCTTCCCTCCTGAGCTCGTCCAGTCTCCTTATGAGGTTGTCGTTTCCATGGCCCGCTCAAGCACGAGGTGGGGATCAGCGATCTCCACGGGCCTGCTGGTTGACGTTAATCTCGTCTCTGAGATCTCCCCACGCGCGTTGCGGAGGTGGGATGAAACGACCACTGATGACGCCTCCTCACTTCGTTCAGCCCTGAAGGAGATTCTATCATGCACATAAATCATTTTCCCACCAATCAGATCCATCACCGAGGTTCTCGAGGTCGGCCTGGAATGATTGGACCGCTGAGACCGGGCTGGCGAGGAGTTCCTCTATTGTTGCTCATGTCTCTCTTCCTCCCACTGAGGCATGTATGGAGTCTAGCGAGGGGAAGGAAGTCTTGCGTTGTTGTCAGGGATGATACCTTGGGAAGCGGTGGTCAGGGTCTCCACAGCCCTCTGGAATGTTGCCAAACTAGTCAAGGCTTGGGCTGGGTCGACGTTGGGGATGAGATTCACAGTGCCCAGTCTGGAACTGTGGTGGTCGCGCTGACATGCGTCTGGAGCTCCCAACGCCATGGTGTTGATTTCTCAATTCACCCTGAGCCGCTGCATTATTGTTGCACCTCCGGGAATCGCTTCGCCGTGATCTAGAACCTCCGTCCTTGATCACGACTTGATTGAAACGATCGTCGCCTTGATTGCTACCCATGCGGTTGTGACTGTGTGATCCGACCATTGTTATCGCATACCGTTCTCTCAATGAGAGCACCAAATGGTGGAGTTTAATCCAACTACAAGAGACATATCCACGAGAGCAGATGAAAATATGGCAGCATAAGGTAGTATTCTATTATCCGGAGTTCGGTCCCTTCATAGGAAATTTACAGGAAGTATTTATAGACTACAAGAACTAGTATTGTAGGAGGAAACTGATACAATAAATGCTATTAATTACACATTAGTTCGAATAGGACTGTTGTAACATTTTGGCCGTTGTGTATTGAACGTTCCTTTAAGTCCACGTTCCTGCCGTTTATTCCTGCCTGCTGCCAAATAGCTATGCACGAATGATAGCCTGCCACGTAAGCCCTAGGAATATCCCGACCTCGCTAGAACTCCGCCCAGGCTCGAGGTCTGGTGTTCAGCCTGATCTGGTTGTGAGTTCCTGTTGTGGGTCTGATTCCTAGTTAAGCCCAGGAGCTAATCATACTAATCCCATTTATGGGCTCATCCCGTTAAGGGCTTGACCCCGTTGAGGGTTTGATCCCGTTATGGGCTTGATCTCGTTATGGGCTGGATCCCGTTATGGGTTTGATCTTTAATCCCGTAATTGGGCCATGGTTAGAGTCCATGATACCATCACATGTTAATTCTATTATTTCCATTACAACTAGTGCTTAAATACATAAATCCCCTAAAACCAATTTATTTTGGAATGTGGGTCCATTTTAAAAAAAACTGATTATTTATTAATTAAGTTTAGAAATTAACTTCTCATACCAAATTACTAAATGATAGGAGTATAGTCGATGCTAATTATTAAATTGCAAAAATCTAAGCAATATTGAATTAAACATCATTTGACTGAGATGTGTTGAAAGACCATTCATGTGATTAGCAAATTTGAATCAAGTGTAAATCGAATTTCACATTCTAAAACTAGATATTAAGCTAGGTATAGTATTATTTTTATAAGCCTAGATGTCACTGAATTTCCCATTTATAGTATCAGGGCCGGTCCTGAAAATAAGAGGGCCGTGTGCAACCACAAAAAATTGACCTTCCTTTCCTACATAAATAGATATAAACACAATTTATGATATAGTAAAATTTACTAAAACATACTACCTCCGTCCCACTAACATTGGGACATGAAGAGGTGATGCGGTTATTAAGAAAAGTGAGTTATGCGGTTGATAATGAATTAAATTTGATTGATAATGAATTGATAAAGTAATACTCCGTGATAAAGAAAAAATGATTTAGAATCACACAAACTTTATCAAACTTGATATGTGACAATCTTAACTGGACGGATGGACTATGGAGTAATAGTAAAGATAATCTAATAACAAAATCAAATCAGATTGTTAAATATGATTACTTTAATTACTTAACTAAATAAATAACAACTTTATTTTGTTAAATTTCATCATAAATTAATCATGTCTGATAAATAACTAAATTAAGTCACTCAATCACATAATAACTGAGAAGATTAACCATGCATTGAATACATGAGAAATTAAAAAGATACTACGTACTCCGTATATGATTTACTCCGTATAATTTAAATGAGAAAACTAAAAACTTTGGTATTGGATGGTCAATCCACATCCGTATTTATTTACTTAAATGATTTTTATGGGCCGCAACTGTGCAACATACTCCATATTGAATTTATTGACCGAGACTGGGGAATTGGGATGGGACGGACAAATGCGCACGGGCTGACTAATAATACTACGTAGCATTATTTATTTTTGGGCCTTCAGAAATAATGGGCCCTGTGCGAGTGGGTTGCCTACACCTGCCCTGGGCCGGCCCTGTATAGTATATTATAGGATATTATTTCGTATTTGTCAGGGATTGAACTTTGTATCCCATTTTCGGGTGATATTGAATTTTGACCCGTTCAACATAAAATCATTTTACTTAGCACCCTTATCCTTTATAATTTTTGGGCTGATCAGGGTGCATAGACTAATAAGTTTTTAAATAAGGTGCAAAGTCAAATTCCCCGTACTTGTTAACCTTTAAGTATTATAAAAATAAGGTTTATTAATGATTAAATCCATTGTTTTTATCTATAAAAAATGTGTAATAATTACCCAACAACATATCATATTTGTCACGCCCCAGATCGCGTGTGTACCATGTAGACAACCGTCGTACAACCCAATAAGAATAACCGCAGTTCATCCTTACTAATTTGCACTAGATGTCCGATAGATGCATATGCCAAAAGCGATTAGTAAACATACCATTGAACACATAGCGGAATATAAGTGTTTAATAAGAACCCACACAAGGGTAAAACAAGAGCTCGCAAGCTCCATTAATTTATAAGTCAAAATAGTTCGATGAGCATTATTTAATTATTTAGAAATAGAACCAGAGGAAACACGAAGCACGTCTTCTGTCCATCTATCTCCCAAACAACGGGTGCGGAAAGTAAGCTCTAGTTTCAACCTAAAATTGTGCCCCCCCGAGGGGTCAATACTACAGGAAAGTACTGGCGAGGGCAAACTGTATGTCATGTAACTAACGTTTCACACATGAGACCCTCAACATAGGGTGATAATATGATTATGGGCATAACTCTTAACTACCATTTTCAAAACATATCGTACACATATATACATATGGGTAAAATATGTGGCCCGTAGGCCCATATGTCTTTCAAACCATTTAGGCATAACAACCCCATTAAATTCACCCTTCTTATGTCTTATCATCGGGTGGGGTCACCCGGAAGCTAACCCACCCGATATCAAAAGATAAATACCCGTGGCTGGCCCTTCGGGCTCCCAAATCACGAACATGGTTTATATCACTTCCTAGCCCAAGGAAATGTTGTATCGGGAACTTGTTCTCGACCAAGCATATTCATTCAATCATTTAAAGTTATTACCCTGAGGTTCACCTACCTCGAGGACTACTCGTCCTTACTATCATAGTTTAGATTCTCAGGGCTAATCCCGCCTTGAGGAGCACACATACACCCCCATCCTACGTGTAATTTGCTGGAGGTTAACACACCTCAAGGACTACACATGCCCTTGTTACCTATATGCAATTTAATGGAGGATACCACACCTCAAGGACTGCACTTGCCCTTGTTACTTATGTGTAATTTGCTGGAGGATACCACACCTCAACGACTACACGGACCCTTGTTGCCTATATGCAATTTGATGGAGGATACCACACCTCAAGGACTGCATTTGCCCTTATTACCTATGTGTAATTTGCTGGAGTTTAACACACCTCAAGGACTACACGTGCCCTTGTTACTTATATGCAATTTGATGGAGGATACTACACCTCAAGGATTGCACTTGCCCTTGTTACCTATGTGTAATTTGCTGGAGATTAACACACCTCAAGGACTACACGTGCCCTTGTTACCTATGTGTAATTTGCTGAAGGTTAACACACCTCAAGGACTACACAGGCCCTTGTTAACGTTTGAGTGTAGAGGATTCCTCTTGGCCCCACAAAATATTATCTAGCCTTACTTGATCTACCATGTATTCATCCGTTCGTGGTCTATATCAGTTCTTTACTAACGACTAGTCCAAGCCTTAGTGTTTACACCTCGTATTCCAAGCCTTAGCACTTTAAACATCATATTTCATGTAATTCCATGCAAAATATTCACATATAGGATGGCCGGGATTAATCCCACGTCGAATCGGGCTCTGATACGCGTTAAACCTGTAGCATAACCGGCGCCCGGTAAATCCCTTAACTGGCCTGGCAATAGGTTAACCGGCACCGATTAATCCCTTAACCGGTGCCGGTCCACTGCCCTGGACCGGGTCAACACGCCGTTAACCACCCGAATCAAGTCCGATTGATCAGAAATTTTAATACAACATGTATTAAGTCATAAACAATCAAAATATATCATTTTGACCATTCAACATTAATATCTTAAACACTTAGAATACCACGGGTGGTCCTCGCTCCTGATGTGGGTCCCACATGTATTTTTACTACACGATAAAAGTTAATTAGTAAAAATAAATTTACCGCACCTTTTATCAAGGTGCCAAGTCTAATTTACCCAACGTTATATGTGAACATTTTCGGAGTGGTTTTACACCTACTCCTCTTCGTGGGTCCTACGTCTGATTAATAGCCCATTATCAATTTAAGACAAGAATTTTATCTTTCTCATTTATCAAGACTACTCCTAGTCTTGATTTACCTTCTTTAAGCATGTACTTGATGAACAAAAATTCTCTGGGTAAAATTCAGGTCCGGTGTTACACTATTAGTCCGTAATTTAGGTATAATTATCATTTTTGTAGGTTTTTGTTTATTTTTTCCTAAAATGATATCGCATGTTTGCATATTGACTAGCAATTAAGAATATATTTTTACCAAGAATATGGATTCAAAATCAGGTTTACTTCCACGAAACGATTAACATTGACCTCACTCTTATGAATTTGATTCACATTAGTTATAAGTAGTACAATTTACTAACCCACACTCACAAAAAAATCAGCCTATCTATGTTATTTACATGACTTCCACTAATAGTCCAACATTATTTTCGATGTGTTTTGACAAGGACTCGATCTCATTCATTACAAAGCCATCTGATTTTTTATTAAACCTCTTCAAAGGCACCAATAGAAGAATTGCAAAGTTTGTAAAAAAACATTAGGGCAACGAGATTTGCATTCACTTTGTTAGGAGGCAAGGTACAAAAAGATGTAAACATTTCTAGAGGGTCATATGTATATCAAATGCATGGTCAAAATTATCATTTTGTGGGTTTACGTACTATCAATGGATTCTAACGAATCAAAGTTCTCACAACTCAATATTTATATCACGAAGCAAATTTAATTAGTAGACTTCGCGCATTAGAAATGGCTTAAAATTTTGTGGAGTGAAGGACAAGGATGCAAGCAATACAATAACAAATATTATGTACAAAAAGCTTAACTTTAGTTTAATGCTTATGAATACTCCGTAATACTTAACAAATTCATATTTGCATTTACTTTCAAAACCACTATAAATCATATACACATTAATGATTTTCAATCGGTCATTCTTATATATTAAAAAATACTAGCACACGATTGAGTGAATATTATTAACCTCTACCTATTGATATTTATCATTTTAAAACTTATTAAAGTGACACTACCAGGACATGCCCCAGGTGTTATACTAGTTACCTTAAATTTGTTGTTAGGAGTATGAGGATTCTACTTCCAAGGATCTTTCACCAAATTATCTGGTTAAGTTTCCTTGTTCTGCTCGGCACTCGACTTCGTCAGAAGATTTTTAGCGGGACTAATTTTTCTTAATTTTATCAGCCTACACTTACGTTCAGACTTATCTAATTCAACCATTGAAATGGTTGCGTTCTTAACCTTAATAATGGTTGAATGTATATATTATTGGAAAGAAGAGAAAGAGTGATGGGTTCGAATGAAGAAGGGTGTTGCACGCTCAGATGTTTGAGTGAAGACATTGGACAGTTCAGAGGTGGTATTAACAGTCACTCTCTCTTAACCTACACGACATCATATGACATACTTCCTCCCTCCCATAAAATAGTCCCCACTAGGATTTGGATCTGATTTTAAGAAAGTGAGAATAAAGGGGAAATGTATGTTGTGGTTGAGTAAGAAAAATGTAAATGGATGGTAACCACACAAAACTTTCCAAAAAGGGAAATGAGAACTATTTTTTAGAACGGATCAAAAAAGAAATCACAAACTATTTTGCGGGACGGAGGGAGTAATTTTTTTAATGTAATTTTACCTCTTTCTATTATTTTAAAAAGAAAAGGGACATGTTGCTAAAATGAGTTTGAAAAGAGGGTATTTTGATAAAATTCCCCGTGCTTAAGGCAACCTTTTTAAATTTGGAATAGGAGCTCGGAACAACTTGTATAGTGGCTCTTGAGGAACAATTTTGTTATAGGTACCCCAACATTACTCCATTTTGTACCCCATAAAAAAGCCTCCCCATTTTTTTTACCTCCCCTCCCCTCCTCATTTCTACCCTATTTTTCTTCCCTTCCAAATCTCCATTCATCCAATTTGTTACATCTTCTTCCCTCTTTGCTACATCTCTTATTTGCCCCTTTCCTTTCTAGATTTGTGAGGTTAATTATTTAAATTTTAATTCAACTATTATATTTCACTTTTATGCTCATAAGGTGTTTGTTGAAATGATTGAATGAATTTTTATTCATATCCATGTGTTTAATGTTCATTTTTCTGTTTTAAAATTTTGTTTGAGTGTTTGACTCCTTCATTTTATTAAAATGAATTTTTTTGTTTATTATTGAGATATATACATAATACTCCATATTAGTCTTTGATTTAGATATATACTTCAAGTAAGAGACTCTAGTTCAACTTGCTGGTTGTGTGAAGAAAAGCTACTCCTTTGATGATTGCTCTCTAATTACATCGCTCAAAGTCAGGATTTATTTGGATTAAATCTATTCAAGAGAGTTTTGAATATGTCATTTACTTTAGTGAATTTACAATCTTCTTTCACATGATACTAGTTCTTTATTACCAAATTTATATCAATGTTATATGTTGGTGTTACATATGGAGCCATGTAAAATAACTGTAGAAGTAGATGTTGTATGGAGATGCTTATCGTCCATCCATAAGTTAGAATATGTTCCTCATTTTAATGCTATTTTACCATAATACGACGCTTATTGTTTGCTTAAGCCCTTCGAGATTCTCCGAAGACTCAATCCTATCTAAAAGACATCAAATAAGGGGCCTCCTCTTCAAATGACTACACAGGTGAATACTTTATTTGAAGAATTTATGGATTTCTAGACATTTTGTTCCACTATTGAAGTAAAGTTGCTAGTTGAAGGACTTAATTTAGGCACTGAAAAGTCAAATGACATAACTTGTGTGTGGACTCAATTTTGGCATGGGCTAAAGGTTTTAAAAAGTTGAAGTCCTCTTTATGAAGTGAAGCACCAACATTTATAGAAAAAGAGTCCAACTATAGAAAGGTTTGTCCTAAACGGCTTCAAGAGAATGAGGGGCATATTGGTCAAGGCAACTTTTTTCCCTTTATTGTTATATGTAATGAAACTTTTAGCTTGTTTTTTTGCTTGTTTATTCATATATTGATCATGCATATTGGTTATGGAACTTCATTTCCCTTTATTTTGGTTTATTGTATCTTAGGTGGATAAGTTCCATTTTTTTTATTACTCTCATATCTTTAATTGTTAGTTGGTATTTATATCATATCAGGCGGCCATGATGTCAAAAAGATATTTACTCTTTCATATTATTATTCAAAGCACGTGTATGGTACAAAGAACATATGTGAGGTAGACAAGAAATGTTTGGGTCAGACAAATTTTGTTTGGCTGTACTCCACAAAGTAGTTACTTGGCCCAGACTACTAATGTCTCGCCCAAACAACTTTTGTCTGATTGTAAGACGGAAAGTAATACATACACCAAGACTACAAATGTCTGGGACAGACAAATTTTGTCTAGTTGTACTCCGCAAAGTAGTTACTTGGCCCAGACTACTAATGTTTGGCCCAGACAACTTTTGTCTGGTTGTAAGACACAAAAGTAATAAATTCCCAGACTACAAATGTCAGTGATAGACAAATTTTGTCTGGCTAGACTGACGCTACAGTTCTAAATTGAAGCATAGAGTGTTGGGGGAAATAGAGATAACCAGACATACATTATTTTACGTAGAGAGACACTGATCCTTGGTGCACTCCGATAGTAATAGGAAACTCTCCAGTCCTCCCTACACTAGTACGGACACTTGTAGTACAATCCTCATACATATCCATGATGATGCTGATATACTTGCGTGATATGCCTTTTCTAGTTAAGGCCCACCAAAGAACTTCTCGAAGTATTCTATCATGTGTCTTTTCTAAGTCAATGAACACCAAATGAAGATCCTTATGAGCGTCTCTATACTTCTCCATAAGTTGCCAAAGAAGGTGAATGACCTTAGTTGTTGAGCGACCAGACATAAAACCGAATTGATTCTCTGAAATCTTCACAGGTCTTCGAAGTCTTTGCTCAATCACTCGCTCCAAAAGTTTTATGGTGGAAATCCATAAAAATACTCATTAAGCATTGAGGTGCAAAAAATGGAAAAAAAGTCTTGAATTTGAACAAAAACTTCATTGAGTAATTTCTACAAACATGTTATAGGCATAAAATGAACTAGAAAAACTACACTAAAATTTTAATTAATCAAAACCTCAAAATCATTACAATGAAACAAACTAATCAATTATTCACTTTTATATCATACATAATATACATAAAATCGAAAAAAGAAAAAATGCACATGAAGAAAAAATGGAGGTCTTTTGAAACCTTCAAATATGGAGATGAGAGCTCTTAGGTTGAAAAGAAAAGAAAAAATGGGAAATGAGATGAGAGAATAGAATGAGACGGATAGGAGAAACAAATGAGGGTGGGATGAGAGACTTTTGAAGGATAAAAAAGGATATTTACGTTGGGTAGGAAATGGGGGTAAACTTGGGTACTATACCAAAGTTGCTAGAGAAATCATCTTGTAGACGAGAGTGGGATCGATTTCGTTCCCCTCGGTTACGCTTGGCGACGTCACAATGTCAACGGTGTACGTACTGGAGCCACCGACGAAGGGCAAGGTTGTCATCAAGACGACCTACGGCCCGTTGGATATCGAACTCTGGCCGAAAGAGGCTCCCAAAGCTGCCCGGAACTTCACGCAGCTCTGCTTAGAAGGTTACTACGACAACACCATCTTCCACCGCATCATCAAGTCATTCCTCATTCAAGGGGGTGACCCAACGGGCAGTGGCACTGGTACACTCTATTTGTCAATTCACTTCGCCTATTCCTGTTGTATTCGCAACTTCCTCGTGTTCTGCTTGAGTCGGTTATGTTAGCATTATGCAATTCTGCATAATTCCAATTTATTGCATAATTTTGCTGTATTATACGTAGTAAATGGCATAACTGTTTTCTATGTGACCTCCATATGCCTAAGGAGTGAGTTGTTGGAAATATGATGAAATATATTATTGGAGATGTCTCATTTATGGGTCCTAGGAACATTAAATTAAAGTAATGAATTTGAATGATAGTAATTGGTGACCGAGGAGTTGATAAAATCATACAAGACATTACAGTTAGGATGACTGAACAATGGGAGGGGATCAAGTGTTTAGGTTAGAGTGCTTGTCTTTAATTCTCATGAAATTTGTGTATATATCATTTTTTTTTATTCTTATTTTTTAATGACAGGAGGCCTATTTTCAGACCAATATAGCGAATCTAGAAAAATATTTGGAGTACTTTGACTTTATTTATTCATTCCAAGCCCCGCAATCACAACACACACAAGCACATTTTCAGTATTAATGTTAACTAAGACAACATGGTTCCTCAAATACTGTAGGAGTTTTGTGTTTCCGCAGCAATTAAAATAAATGGAAGAATGAACTTTGTTGTACTATTTGCATTTTACACAGAGAATCCCTCTTCATCATTTTTTTGTCACAATGAGGTTGTTGGATCAGATCATTCTACTGTATTACTAAATCCATATATACCATTCCACAACTGTATTGCTAGCTCTTTGTAAAACAGTCTGTACAAAATTTCACATATATTAGAGCTCCACTTATGCCTCCTATCGGTTCAATAAAATGGTTAATTGGTTATTGCTTAGTGCAGGAGGTGAGAGTATCTACGATGGTGTGTTCCCTGATGAGTTTCATTCTCGTCTTAGATTCAAACACAGGGGTTTAGTTGCATGTGCTGGTTCTGGCTCTCCCAATACAAATGGAAGTCAATTCTTTATAACATTAGACAAGTGCGATTTTCTTGACAAGAAGCACACAATTTTTGGAAAGGTATGCTAATGAGTAATGAGCTAATCCAATTATTAGGTTCTTCAGGTTTACTACTCTCTCTACGAAATGGATGCTTCCTGATCTGGAAATTAAAATATCCAAGTTTTTGTAGGTAACTGGTGACTCGATCTACAATCTTTTGAGCCTAGGTGAAATTGAAACGGACAAGGAGGATAGGCCCCTGGATCCTCCTCCTAAAATACTTTCTGTTGAGGTGCATTTTTTCCCTTTTTAATGTTTTTATAATTGTACATTCCTATGCCTACTGTGCAAGTCCACTCATTTTTGCCTTTTTTAATGTTTTTATAATTGTACATCCCTATGCCTACTGTGCAAGTCGACTCATTAATTTTTAGGTATTGTGGAACCCATTTGATGATATTATTCCAAGGGTAAAACCAAAGGATGCTTCAGTACCTTCAGCTGAGCCTGACAAAAAGGATAAAAAGCAGAAACCTAAAAAGTAAGTTTCTTGCCTTAACGCGTGTTTGGAACATTTTAAAAGGTAATGGTGTTTTATTTATTAATTTTATACTTGTGTATAATGGCATAACTGGAGTCACAAGTCCTATCGGTGTCGTACACAGAAACTTGAACCTGCTTTCATTTGGTGAAGAAGCAGAGGAGGAAGAAAAAGAATCATCTGCCATCAATGTGAGGATAAAAAGCAGTCACGATATACTGGATGATCCCCGCCTGCTGAAGGAAGAAAACCATGATAATAATTTGGTAATGTGTTGTTTTTTCTTATCTATATTAAAATATCATCTTATTCCACAAGTAGGGAAGGGTGAGTTCGATGAGGTGACTTTGTGACCAAGAACAGAATGGACCAACGACTCAAGTTTGGTTCGGTGAGGTAAGGTTTAAGTAGTTAGAGTTGGAAATATGTTGAGCTGAGAAGTTATCATGGATTCTGATTGCGTACAGTCACTTATCCTACCCCTCGGAAATAGGATTTTGAATCTCTTACTCGAACATACCAACTACCAAGCAATCCTCACTTTGGAGATATCTGGAAATAGGGCATGTGGAACCATTCCAGAAATGAAAGAATAACAGACCAATCCATCACCTTTTTGGAGAGCAGTCTAGCTTAAACATACCTACGAATCCAAATGAACACAGATGGGACCAGATGCCCAGCTATGATTAAAAAATACTACCACATCTCACCAACTTTGGCACATTAGAAAGTTGCACACATATTAAGCATAGTTGTCGATGGCAAGGAATGGCGCGTGCGCCATATGGAGAGAAAACCCTCCATCGCCATGGCAATTGCGCCATAATATTAAACAAATCGGAACCAGTTTACTTTGTGATTTTTGGACTTTAGGCCCTGATAAATACTTAAATAATCTGCGAGGCCATAATATTAATAAACACAGTGCAAGTCTTTATCCCATAGAAATTGTTATCATAAAAGGAGCAAAAAGATTTTTGAGTGTTAAACTTGAACCATAGCAACAGTAGAAGAGCTTAACCTTTACATCACATGTGTATTGAAAATTTAAAATAGGCATAATGGTTTGCGGTACTGAATGTCTGAAACATCAAGTACAGTATAGTTTTCCAACTTTTTTTAACGTGGCATCAATTTTTTAAAACCAAAGTGGCGTACTGGCATTCATTTAATTCCGAAGACAGAAGCGTATTTGAACTTCAATAATTTTATACGGAGTATCAAATAAGACACTCCTTCACAACTTCCTGGTATTAATCTGTTGTCAGTTATCATGCTATGTTACTTTATTACAAAGTTAACTGCCTTTGCCAAGAAGCTTTTTGAAAGACATGAAACTTTTTTTGAAAATAATGTTTTTTGGAACTACTTTAAACTATTTTAACTTCACATGTTTTGGTTAAAATGTTGTTATTCAACTTTTTAATCATGTTTTAGTGGTTGGGTGATAGAATTATAGCGTCTACAATACATATTTTTAGTTATTTTTTTGTCATGTGGCGACACCATAATTGCGCGATCTCCATCGCCATCGCCATGGAAAAATGCCTTCGTGCCATGGACGTTGCCATGCGCCATGACAACTATAATATTAAGGAAAGTGATATTATGCGATTGATATTGAATTTGTGAAGTACTCAATAATTATGAACCACAAAAATGTTATCACATATGGTATGTGGCACCATAGTGGAACGAACGAAGTAGTGGGACGGAGGAAGTACACGATATAGTAAGTAGACTCCATGCCTGTGCTCCATGATTTACTTTAGTTGTGGTTCCAAGCCCACAATAGAAAAATCAAATGCAATCATCAATCATGGGTCTTCACCAAATGGATTAGGTCGCCACTCTTATGTCAATATAGACCTAAAGATCACTCTGAAGTTTTTCTAAATACTGGTAAATAAAATAGAGAAGACGCCCTAAAATATAATGATATTGACCAGATAAGAGAGAGTGTGAAAGGAATGTGGTTAATTTTAACAGGAAATCCACCTAGTTGTTTAAAAGAGATGGATGCCATGAATCGCACTATATCTAGTAGACTTTTTTTATAATCCATTTTCAGTTTTTGGTTGTTAGATTCAGTTCTTAGTTTCTTACTTCTTAGGCTATAAGATTTTTACACTACTTACATGAATTAATATGCTTTTATTGCATATAATTGGTTAAAAACCTAATCACACGAAATAATGTTTCACACCTATCTAAACGCTTCCTACTGGTGCAGACATTATCTCATAAAAAAGCAATAAGGGATGTGCAATTGAGTGTCAAGGAAGCATTACGCTCAAAGGGGAGTGAAGTAGCGAGAGAATCAGAAGCAAAATCTCATCAATCCCATAGTGAAAGTGATGCTGATGATGATGCTGGTTTTGATGCACGAATGCGTAGGCAGATTCTGGAAAAACGGAAGGAACTTGGAAACGTACCAAGCAAGCAAAAGTTGCAAAGTGGTATATTTCTTGAGAATCTAAAGTACAGAATGTTAATCACTGTATATAGTCTGTCTGACACACGCGCACACACATGACTATATTTTGTTTGTTCATTACTTTTTCCTTGGGGTGTAAGGATGTTTTTAATTGGACTGGTTTCAGTCCCAAACCATAAATAAATAGACCAGATTAGACCAGGCTAGACCAGACTAGACTTAGGCAATTATAAAGTACACATAGAGTAGAGATCTACTCATATACCAAACCAATTCAAACTAGACTAGACTTAAACAGACTAGACCAAAAAATTAGAGTACAATTAGAAATATCCCTAATCTATACAAGTTTGAGATGCTATATAAGTTGGAGATGTACAAAATTTCTACCATTTTTTATAGTTCCGTCTTTTACTAACAAGTTGCATGTTTTAATATCATTCAGAGAATTCCAAGGCAAAGGCTCATTCCTCATCTCCATCAAGGTACACTGTTCTTCTCTCTTTGTAGCTTTTAAGACTTCCAGGTCTCTCTCTCCCTCAATAATAAAAGAGTGTAAGTTTGGAATGATATAATATTCTTAAAGAACTCAATAAACTTAGACAGACTTTTTTCGGAAGGATTGTGGAAGAAAGGTTACAAATAAGAAAGCTTATATTCAACAAAAAATTTTCTAGGATCCCAATATGGTGCTGGAGATCCTTTTATGAGCTTTCATTTTTCATTCTTGGGCTGGTCTGTTTGCTATATTCAACATCTAAAGAAAACTTCTTTTCTTGGCTATCCCTAAACGTATGCTCAGGTCTGCTGAAGAATATGATCACCAACCAAAAGTTGAAAGGTTGTCTATAAAGAAAAAGGGAATAGGGTCTGATGCAAGGGCTCAATGCTTGGCTACAGCAGATACAGACTTGCAATTACTGAGTGGGGCCGAACGTGAAAGACAATTGTTTAAACTAAAAAAGCGTAGGCGTCATGGACAGGAAGATGAGGTATGCTACCTATCGTCCTTTGAACTTTGCTAGTTGCAGCTGATTCTCCAACATTGCATTTGATAAAATTCCTAGCTATTCTAGCTAATGGAACAAAGTGATTCATGCAAGAATGGCAACATTATTAAATTTTAGTAATGATAAAACAGTATTTTTAATGTATGTTATTTGTATGTATTTTGCACTTTTTATGTTTAATTCTAAAAAATGCATTTTCAACATGTCTTTAGTTCTGGGTTTATCAGTTTTGTGCGCATTCAGGACCAAATTCAACATTTTAAAGTAGTGGATCTAAATTTGCAAAAGAAACAAGACTAGTTTTGCCGAGTCAACTCGTGGTAGTTTGGGGACCGAAAATGCATTTTACCCTACCTTTCTGCTGGTGGCACCAAAAAAATGCATATTGATAATGTGGAATACAAGATCCTTAATAATATGGAGTAATATATTAACGGAGTTATGGAGTAAGTAGGGCTTTGCACAATATTTCTCTTTCAATCTTCTAACTTTTTGCTACTGATATCTAATTGCCAGGTGTTGGCAAGGTTGGAAAAATTTAAGGGTTTGATTTCTTCAAAGTCACAAATGTCTACTGGTGAAAATAGAGGAGAAAAGGGCGAAGATCTATCTGACTGGGCATCTGTCAGGCTAAAATTTGATTCAGAGCCTTCAAAGGTGGCAACATCTCTCTCTATCTATGTGTTATACTATTGTGTGTGTTTAATATGCTAATACTCCTGGCATACCAAAAGACGATACTTTTTTGAAAACATACTTTTGACCCATTTTGGAGTTTTATCGCTTTAAGATGTAAATTATATGCTAGTTATAATCCATGACTTAGAAGATGAAAACTATAAACTAAGGTCAGATCTGAATGAATCACTATCCTTTTAAGTCATAAAAGACGAGTCTCCCTTTTTTATGTTAGTTTTTAATGAAGAATCCTTAATAAATTGTATGGGCATTAGAACAATTAAGGACATTTTCTAAAAACATTGAATGTAATTAGAGAATTTAAAGTTTTTGATTTTTTTGGAGTCTTGCATTGATACCTAAGATATCTTTCTCGTTCTAGTACATTACCTGCCTAGTGCTTTTTAAAATATATTGCGTCAAATAGTGTACAACGGAGAATATGGAGTAAGGTGATGGAGGGTATTTGTTCTTTGTCCTGAGAAGTTGTGGTGTGCTTTGGTGTGCAGAACAAGATGTCGCGTAGCAATGACCCGAATGACTATGTGGTGCATGACCCGCTGTGGGAGAAAGGCAAAGAGAAGTTCAATAAATTGCAAGCCAAGCAGAAGCGACGAGAACGGGAATGGGCGGGCAAGTCTATTACTTGATGAACCAACCCCAGCCCCCCCCCCCCTCATCTGCCTAACGTATATGCATGCATGCGTCAAAGCATGAAATGTGATTTTACAATATGTTCCCTTGTACTGTACATGGTGGTGGGTTGATTAACATTTGGCCTCTTCTTTTCCTTTTCACTCCAAATGAAATGAAATGATGAATATATTCATATTTACCGGTGGGCGTAGCCCAACTGGTAACGAGGGGTGGCACACGGGTTAGGTCCCGGGTTCGAATCCCGTCAACTGCGATGAGAGGTGACTATGCTAAATAGGGCCTCTGCAAGTACCGAGGATAGAGTCTCACTCCCTATCTGTCAAATTGGGATTATAGTCCAATTTACATTCTCCCGACGTACCGTCCGGTCGGGGTTGGTGAGCCCTCAAGGATGGAGTGTCATCTTTTTTTGAATATATTCATATTTAGTGGAACATCGGACATATCGCAAGTTCCAAACATGAATATGTCAATGTCCACAAATCACAATTACACCGAGGCCCCCCCTAGCTCATGCCCCAATGGGGACAAATCCATCTGTGGATAAACAATCTCAGTCAACCTGCATGGGTCTTAGGTCAGCCCGACCTACTACAAACCCTGTCTCCCAATTAGCTCCAATCCCTAACCTAAAGATACCATTAAAAACCCAAATATGAGAGCCTATTATCTTTAATTTTTATATAATATAAAGTAACAGTATTAGAGGCAAAAATGCCGCTCAAAAGAGGGGTAAAAATGTAACTTGCATGCTTTAAATATGTACTCCCTCCGTTCCTAAATAAATTTCCAACTTTTCTTTTTCGTCCGTTCCAATTAAAACTTCCACTTTCCCTTTTTGGTAAAGAATTTGTGGTTCACAATATTTCTTACACATTTCTCTCTCCTCTGCACAACTTTCCACCACACAATATCAACTATCTTAAACTTTGTGCCAAATCCATTTGGAAGTTAAAATGGGAACAGAGGTAGTACTACGTACCACATATATGCCTCAAATTTTACGTATATAATGAATAAACTAACCATCTTTACATACATGTGTAAAACCATACAAACATTAATTATTGAAAAAATGGCAGCTATATTACTACGTACCTTTTCAATTCCAAAAATATGACAAACTCTTCCCTTTGACAAAAATTTGATCATTTTAAAAATAAATTGTCTTTAATGTCTTTAAAATAAATAATGAAGCCCTACTCCTAGTGGTGGACTCGGTTCGGGCCGGGCCCGATTCGGGCCTTGAACCGGCCGGGCCTAAGTTCACGGAAGGCAGGCCCGGAACCGGCCCGGATTAACCCGGATCCGGTTCGGTTCGGGTCACCCGCCCGGTTCACGGGCCGGGCTGCTCGCTGGGCTAGGCCTTTTAATTTTTTTATTATATATTATATTATTAGAATAATTTTTATTACAATTACAATATATTATATTCTAATTCAAGTATATTTATTTCAAATAAGAAGTACAATTGAAAATTAGGATGAATTTAAAAAATGTAATACATTTTGTAATAAAAAATCAATCGGAATCTCCGCCTTCGATTGTTTCCTCCATAAAGTGGCGGGTGGGAGCGATGGTAATTTCTTGAGTTCTTTGTTGGGCCTTCAATCAATCGTGAAAGCAAACTAGTGTCTCAAGAGAGTTCGGGCTCAACCTCGTTCTATAATCGGTTAGGACGTTGACGGCCGCACTAAATTCTTGTTCCACGGCAACGGTTGATATCGGCATTGCTAGCACTTGCTTAACAATCTTTGATAAAATCGGGAACGTTCTTTCATTTTCCTTCCACCACTTAAGAACGTCAAAGTCATCACCAACTTCATAATCAACATTCAATGTTAGATACAAAGAAAGCTCGTTACCTGAGCTTTGTTCAGTAGCGGGAGTTGCTCTACTTTTTTTCAAAAGAGAACCAAAAGCGGATTTTAAAAGTGATTTTCCTTTAGATGAAAAAGATGTTTGTTGCATGGAAGGGAGTGCACTACCATATTGTGCATGAAATTCATTATACAATTGATGAAATAAATTACTAACCTCGTTGAATTCTTGTTTAGGGTCGATGGGATTATCATCGAACTCTTGAGTTGGAAAAAAAGAAGCATAATAGTAATCTTTACAATTTGCCAAGTAAGCAAGTTTATAACGAGGATCAAGAACAAATGCAATACCATATATATGCGGAATATGTGAATAATATTTTAAAAACTTTTGTTTCATGAAATCACAAAAATAACTAACGTAAGTGGCTTCGGAAAATTCGCAAAAAGCGCCGACGAGATTAACAGCTTCAACAAATAATTCGTTTGCGGTAGGTTTATAAACATGACTAAAAGTTTGAGTTGCGTTATTAAAATATGCCAAAACATTAACAATTTTTTCACAAGTGTCGATGTCAGCCGGGTTTATAATATAGTTACAAGTTTGTCTTAAAAAAAGCTGGAAAATGATCTTTATATCTAATAAGTACTTGAATTAAATTATAAGTAATATTCCAACGAATAGACAAATCTTTAGGAAAAGCACAATAATTGACACGTCTATCCTTCAAATATTGCCACCATTGCATTTTTAGTGGAGTGCTAGCCCAAATCAATTTAATTCCCCCCTTCACTACCTCCAAAGCATTTCCTAATGCCGCTAAGCCATCTTGTACACACAAATTTAGAATATGACATGCACAACGTTGATGAAAAAACCTACCCATCAATGTAGAAGCACCACACAATTCACGTAATCTAGGTATAGCAGTAGTATTATTACTAGCATTATCAAAACCTACAGCAAACACCTTATCAATCAAATTATACTCAATTAAAATATGTTCAATGAGAATATAAATATTATCAGCAGTGTGACGATCATTGAATTCACGAAAAGCAAGAACACGTTTATGCATATTCCAATCATCATCAGTATAATGTGCCGTATGACCCAAATAATATAAATGATGATAAGTATCCTCCCATATATCGCTACAAATACTAACACGTCCATCAAAGTTTGCGAAAAATGTTTGTAATTTTTCTTTTTCCAAGTTATATTGCCTTATAACTTCTTTTTTAATCGTTTTGCGACTATAATTTCTAAATTTAGGATTTAAAGTACCTTGAGCATAATCTCTTAAAGCAAGACTTTCGGAAAAAATATAGGGTAAATTTTCTACAACAATTAAATGAGACATACCAATCAAATGTTTTTTATCATCATAGAAAAATTTACCAAAGGGTTGAGAATTTGCAAACCTCGATATTTGTGTTTGCTTCCCCTTGCCTTTGTCTATTTTCGCATACTCCACAAAGTGGGCGGACTGAAGATGCCTGTTGAGACTCCCGTATCCCCTTGCTAACTACTTTTTTTACTTTAATGAGCAATGTAGCAATTAACTAATATGAGAAATGTAAAAATTAACTACTTTTTTTTTACTTTAATGAGAAATGTAGCAATTAACTAATATGAGAAATGTAAAAATGTAGCAATTAACTAATATGAGAAATGTAAAAATTAACTACTTTTTTTTACTTTAATGAGCAATGTAGCAAATAACTAATATGAGAAATGTAAAAATTAACTACTTTTTTTTACTTTAATGAGAAATGTAGCAATTAACTAATATGAGAAATGTAAAAATTAACTACTTTTTTTACTTTAATGAGAAATGTAGCAATTAACTAATATGAGAAATGTAAAAATTAACTACTTTTTTTAACTTTAATGAGCAATGTAGCAATTAACTAATATTAATATGAGAAATGTAACAATTAAGTAGTTTAACTAATATTAATATGACAAATGAAACAATTAACTTTAACTACTTTAACTAATATTAATATGACAAATGAAACAATTAACTACTTTAACTAATATTAATATGACAAATGAAACAATTAACTACTTTAACTAATATTAATATGACAAATGAAACAATTAAGTAATTTAATAGATAAACGAGAAGTCTAACAATTAACTACTTTTATAAAATGTATGAATGTGTATAAGTCTATATCAATGAGTATAAGTATATATAGTATATATAATGTGTAAATATATTATAAGTAATATATAATATAATGTATAACTATATATAGTATATATAATATAATGTGTAAAGAATTATAATATGAATGTGTATAAGTATATATTTATAAGTAGATAATTAATATATAAGTAGATATAATAATTATATAAATTATATATATATAGAAAGAATTTGGAGAAGATGAAGAATGAAGATGATTGAATATGAGAGATTGAGAGAATAGAGAATTTAGAGAGTAGGAAGAGTTGTAGAAGAAGAGGTGTAAAAAATGTATAGAAAATAGGAGTATAAATAGGTTTTTTTTGTATACCCCACCCCCACCCCACCCACCCCCCAAACCCCCCAGACCCCCCTCCTATGTTCCCAACGGCTATAGAGCCGTTTGGGAGATCTCCCAACGGCTATGGAGCCTTCTAGTATTTTTTTTATAAAAAATGTGACCGTTGCGGCCCGGCCGGGCCGGTTCACTGAAATGCAGGCCCGGGACCGAACCGCTTGAAGACCGGGCCGGGTGGCCCGAACCGGGCACCAACCGGTTCACTGGGCCGGTCCAGGCCCGCACAGTAACGGGCCGGTCCGGTTCCGGGCCGGTTGGCCCGGCCCGAGTCCATCCCTACCTACTCCACACTTCTACAGTTCTATGCCTCCCATTCTCATCGCCTCAGGTGCAGCTCCCTATAACTCTCGTTTATGCGCCTCCACATCGTTGCCGTTCATCGCCAACCTTCTGCGCATCGCCGATGGTTGCTGCACCGTCGCCACATGCCAATCCCCTCTGCATCGTCCACTTCCTCTGCATCGGAGTTCCTGATGCGCTTACTCCTTCGTTTCTTCAGGGGTAGAAACAAGTGATATCTTCGACGACCTCTGACTCTTCTCGTACCGTGATGGAGACAACCGATTGCGGTGACTAGGGCGACATCGATCGATTGCGGGCTTTGCGGTTGAAATAGTGCAGAGGCGAGGTGCGGCATGGGGTATGGGTGGGGTATCGAGGGCGCAGGGGTAAGAGAGGATCTGCCGAATTGAACTCCAACCCGTACGGCCAGACCTTTGGTTTTTGCAAGAGATGCCACTTTTTTGTTGAGATGATGTGGCTTAAGATATTTTCTCTTGATGGTTACCATCGTGAATGAAAC